GTGGTGGTGTTTTTGAAACGCAAAAGTTTTAAATTTTGATAACATCCAGTTTATTTTTTCTTTGTTGCTTATGTTTTTGGAGGCATAGCTAAGAAACTATTGACTCACCAAGATTATGAAGACTTAAACCTAATGTGTTTTCTTTTAAGAGTTTTATAGTTTTAGCTCTTAAATTTAGGTCTTTGATCCATTCTCAGTTCATTTTTGTACATGATGTGCAGTAGAATCCAACTTCATTCTTTTGTAGGAGGGTATTCAATTGTCCCAGTACCATCTGTTGAGAAGACTCTTCTTTCCCCATTGAATTATCCCAGCACCCTTATCCAAATCATTTGACTCTAAATATGAGGGTTAATTTCTGGATTTTGTTGTTTTTTAAAAACTATTTTTGTGTGTGTGAGGGTTAATTTCTGGATTTTTTTCTTTTTTTTTGAGACGGAGCCTCACTCCGTCCCCCAGGCTGGAGTGCAGTGGCGTGATCTCGGCTCACTGCAACCTCCACCTCCCAGGTTCCAGCGATTCTCCTGCCTCAGCCTCCCAAGTAGCTGGCATTAAAGGCTCGTGCCACCACGCCTGGCTAATTTTTGTATTTTTTTTTTTTTTTAGTAGAGACGGGGTTTGGCTATGTTGGCCAGGCTGGTCTTGAACTCCTGATTTTAAGTGATCCGCCTGCCTTGGCCTCTTAAAGTGCTGGGAATACAGGAGTGAGCTACTTCACCTAGCCTGGATTCTTAATTCTATTTATCTATATGTCTATCCTTATTCTGTTAACACACAGTCCTGATAACTATAGCTTTGCAGTAAATTTTGAAATTGGAAAGTATGAATTCTCCAACTTTGTTATTCTTTGTCAAAATTGTTTTTGCTAGTCTAGGTCTTTTTGAATTTCTATATACATTTCAAGAACAGCTTGTCAATTTCTACAAAGAAGTCAACTAGAATTTTGATAGGGATTGTGTCTTTATCAGCATCATGAAAATGGACTTATATAATTAGTTTTCTACATCTGTTAAATTTCTTCAAAGGATTTTACTTTTGATATCTTCATAAATGGAATTGTTTTCTTAATTTCATTTTGTTTGCTCATTGCTAGTGCATAGAAAAATAATTAAGGCTGGGTACAGTGGCTCATGCCTGTAACTCCAGCACTTTGGGAGACTGAGGCAGGACCATCACTTGAGCCCAGGACTTTGAGACCAGCCTGGGCAACACAGAAGGACTTCATCTCTACTAATAACTTAAAAAATTAGTCAGGTGTTGGCCGGGCGCGGTGGCTCACGCCTGTAATCCCAGCACTTTGGGAGGCCGAGGCGGGTGGATCACGAGGTCAAGAGATCAAGACCATCCTGGTCAACATGGTGAAACCCCGTCTCTACTAAAACTACAAAAAATTAGCTGGGCATGGTGGCGCGTGCCTGTAATCCCAGCTACTCAGGAGGCTGAGGCAGGAGAATTGCCTGAACCCAGGAGGCGGAGGTTGCGGTGAGCCGAGATCGCGCCATTGCACTCCAGTCTGGGTAACAGGAGCAAAACTCTGTCTCAAAAAAAAAAAAAAAAAAAAAAAAAAAAGAAATTAGTCAGGTGTGGTGGCAAGCTCCTTGTGGTCTCAGCTACCCAGGAGGCTGAATTGGGAGGATCACCTGAGCCTGGGTGGTTGAGGCTGCAATAAAGCTGAGATCTTACCACTGCACTCCAGCCAGGGCAACAGAGCAAGACCTCATCTCAAAAAGAGAAAAACAATTTGTTTTTTTGTTTGTTTGTTTTTTTAAATATGGGGTTTCACCATATTGGTCACGCTGGTCTCAAACTCCTAACCTCAGGTGATCCACCCGCCTCAGCCTCCCAAAGAGCTGGGATTACAGGTGTGAGCCACCGCACCTGGCAACGATTGCTTTTTTAACATTGATATTATATTCTGAATCCTTGCTGAAACTCATTTCTTTGTTCTAATCATTATAACTATTAGTTCTAATAGTTTAACATGACAACAGGATGCTCTTATACAAGATCATATCATCTGCAGATATCATCGTTCTTTCCAATCTGAATTCCTTTTATTTCTTTTTCTTGTGTAACTGTCCTGAAAAGAATCTTCAGCACAATGCTGAATAGGATAGTGAAAGTGGACATCCTTTTCTTTCTTTCCTGATATTCAGTCTTTCACCATTAAGTATGATGTTAGCTTTGAGTTTTTCATAGAAGCGCTTTATCAGGTTGAGGAATTCCTTCTGTTCCTAGTTTGTCGAGTGTTTTTGTCATGAAGGCGTGTTGAATTTTGTCAAATGTTTTCATGTGTCTATTGAGGTTATCATAGGTTTTTTTTCTTTATTCTATTGAGGTGGTGTATTTTATTAATTCATTTTCAGAAGTTAAACCAATCTTATATTCCTGGGATAAATCCCACTTGGTCATCATGTATAACCATTTTTACATACTACTGGATTTGATCTACTTATATTTTGTTGAGGATTTTTGTTTTTTTTTTCTTTTTGGAGACAATGTCTCACTGTTACCCAGGCTGGAGTGCAGTGTTCATAATCATGGCTAACTGTAGCCTCAACTTCCCAGTCTTGAGTGGTCCTCCCACCTCAGACTCCCAGGTAGCTGGGACTACAGGCATGCACCACCATGCCTGGCGAATTTTTTCTAGTGTTTGTAGAGATGGCAGGGGCGGGGTCTCACTATGTTGCTTAGGTTGGTCTTAAACTCCTGTGCTCAAACAATCCTCCCATCTCAAGTCTCCCAAAGTGCTGGGATTATAGGTGTGAGCCACCATACCTGTTTTTTTTTTTTTTTTTTTTTTTTTTTTTTAAGACAAGAGTCTCATTCTGTTGCAGGGCTAGAGTGCAGTGGCAGGACCTCATCTCATATTTTAACCTCTGGTTCAAGCGATTCTCATGCCTCAGCCTCCTGAGTAGCTGGGATTACAGGTGCACGCCAGGCTAAAAAAATATTATCTCACAGTTCCAGAAGCCAGACTTTTTGTTTTGTTTTGTGAGACTGAGTCTTGCTCTATCGTCCAGGCTGGAGTGCAGTGGCGTGATCTCGGCTCACTGCAACCTCCGCCTCCCAGGTTCAAGCAATTCTCGAGCCTCAGCCTCCTGAGTAGCTGGGATTCCAGGCGTGCACCACACCTGGCTAATTTTTACAGGGTTTCACCATGTTGCCCAGGCTAGTGTTGAACTTCTGAGCTCAGGCAATCTCTGAGCTCAGGTAATCCCTCAAAGTGCTGGAATTACAGGCGTGAGCCACTGCACCCAGCTATGTTGAGGTTTTTTTTTTTTTTTGCGTTTACACCCACTATATAGTGGTGAATAGGCATGACAGTAGAGAATAAATAAAACCAGGAAAGGTTTGATATTACAAACAGGATCTAGTATTGGGGCAGGGGGAAGAGTGAGAAATTGGGTGAGATTGATGCTGGATGGAAGATGGGACAATTTTTAATCCTTTATTCTACCATGGTCCTATTTATTCTATTGATTCATTTTCACATGTTAAAACAACTTTGCATTGCAGGGAAGCAGCGAATGGGTAACCAGCTGTATATAACTCTGATTTATTCCTAAATTTTTGAAGGGAGAATTTAGTTATTAGAGGACAATAGGGCCAACTATATTATTTCTGCAGAGACACTACCATGACAAACAGCAAAAGTAATGTCCAATAATTATTAAGCATGTACTCAACATGAAATGGACCCCTGACTTCAAACACTGGATTCACCCTTCTATCCAGGTCATGACCATATTTAACTGTATTCTAATTAATAAACTGTATTACTGCATGTATAATGACAAAGTCTCAGCTGTTTCCTTAACAAACAGCTTATATACTCATGAACATCTTAATATTCTGATTTCACTGACATGCTAATAAGTTTCCTGTGACTGCTGTAACAAACATAACTTAAAACAACAGAAATACATCCTCTTGGTTGGGCACGGTGGCTCACACCTGTAATCCCAGGACTTTGGGAGGCCGAGGCAGGAGTTCAACACCTGAGGTCAGGAGTTCAAGACCAGCCCAACAAACATGGAGAAACTCAGCCTCTACTAAAAATACAAAAATTAGCCGAGTGTGGTGGTACATCCTGTAATCACAGCTACTCGGGAGGTGGAGGCAGGAGAATTGCTTGAACATGGAAGGCGAAGGCTGCAGTGAGTGGAGATCACACCATTGCTCTCCAGCCTGGACAAGAGCCAAAACTGGATCTCAAGAAAAAAAAAAAAAAAAAATAGAAAAAAAAATTATCTCACAGTTCCAGAAGCCAGAAATGCAACCTAAGGGAGAATCTTGTTGGCTCTAAGGGAGAATCTCTTCCAGCTTGTGGGGGCTTCATTACTCCAAACACTTTGTTTTTTGAGACGAAATCTTGCTCTATCACCCAGGCTAGAGTGCACTGGCATGATCTAGGCTCACTGTAACCTCCACCTCCCAGGTTCAAGAAATTCTCCTGCCTCAGCCTCCTGAGTAACTAGAATTATAGGTGTGTGCCCCCACACCCGGCTTATTTTTTATATTTTTGGTAGAGACAGGGTTTCACCATGCTGGCCAGGCTTGTGAACTCCTGACCTCAAGTGATCCACCTGCCTAGGTGTCCCAAAGTGCTGGGATTACAGGCGTGACCCACTGCACCCGGCCCCAACCTGCCTTTGAGGTGGTAATACCCCCTCCTTTTCTGTCTCAAATTTCCCTCTGCCTTTATTTTATAAGGTCACTTTTCATTGGATTTAGGATCCACTCAAGTAATTCAGGATGATCTCCTTATCTCCATATCCTTAATTATATCTGCAAAGACCCCTTTTCCAAATAAGTCAATATTCACATGTTCTAGGAATTAGGACATGGACCTATCTTTTGAGGGAATACTGTTCAACCCACTACAGTAGATTCTGAATAAGCTACCAATGTGAAAAGAACAGTGTTTTTACTTGAGTAAAAAGTCATACTGGAAAGAAAATATACCATGGCATTATAGACAGCAGAAAAAAACCAAACCCTTTAAAACACATATATTTAATGTACGGAACTGGAAAAAGGACTTCTTGATAATAAACATATTTCATGTACATATAAGCTTTCTATATCTATGAATATTTCATTACAAATACACCCTAAGTTACTTCTTCTCTACATAAAGGAGAAACTCCAAGTCCTGTTCTTTAGGAAGATATGGAGGGCAAGCATTACCTTAGGAGCAACCACTGCTATTTCTCCCATTTCCTTGGGTGACATAACATTTTACAAGGACTAATTACATAAAGAAATATTAGATTCCATTGAGTTTAAATACAAGACACAGCTAAAATTTCCCACTGAGGGCATTAAATATTTGATGCTTATCAGTGTGAATAATTAATTACGTATAAGGCAGATTCCAAAACCAAATGAAGTATGAAAAGAAATTGGCATAAATACTTAACAGTAAAATGAAATTTCACTACTGAGTATGCTAATATGCTTCCTTTTCTATTTCAGTGGGCTCTGCATTTTTTAATCTAAGGTCTTCTGCTGGACTCTAAGATAGAACATTGTTTAACATCACCAGGGTTTTTGTCAGGGGAAGGATTTATTTTGGAAACAAAACCAACTTCTTTCTTCTTTATTAAAGATCAAGGTTGTCTTTTTTGCTACATGCTTCTTTCAGCTATATATTGATTCCCTCATGTAAGAAACTTTACAGGGCAAAAGCAAATACTCTGTGTTGGCTGTCCTGCAGTGAAATGACTAGTTAGTAAAAAAGCCACTCAGCTTGGGCAATATAGTGAAGCCTCATCTCTACAAAAAAAATTTTTTTAATTAGCAAAGCATGGTGGCACACACCTGTGGTCCTAGCTACTTGGGAGGCTGAGGCAGGAGGATCACTTGAACCTGGGACACAGAGATTGCAATGAGCCAAGATTGTGCCACTGCACTCTCCTCTAACCTGGGTAACAGAACGGGACCCTGTCTCAAAAAAATAAAAAAATAATAAAAGAGCCGCCTGTTTAATCCCTTTCTCACCTGGTCTCATCCAAAAAATAAGTCAAAATAATCAAGGTCACAAAGAACTTATGACCAAGATACAACTCTGCAAATAATCTTTAACTGGCCATGGCTTCATTTGTTTGATCCCTTCCCACTTATAAGACTCCAAGGAACAGATGCTTTAGCCTAGTTCAAAGTAGTACACACATACCTCAAGAAAGTGGACCAATAAAGAGGAAGACACAGAATACAACAAAGAGTTGACAAAGCAAATCTAAAAAAAGTATGGTTGGTTTGAACAGTCACTGGTATAAATTCCTTGTGATTCTACTTTTTGACAAGCTCCTCCTTTTGACTATTTGGCAACTAAGATATTTTCAATCGTTTCGATTCCTTTTCCACATTGTCTCTAATGTTTTGGAGTTTTCTGGAGTTGTGAACCAGGGACACTAAACTCTCCCTAAAATCACTAGTCCCATGATCTCTGCCAGCATTTTGAAGCTCATCAAAGAAAGTCAATGTCTGCTTGAGTTTGGCCTGAACAATTTTTTGCTCTTCTAATTCTGCAAGAAGGGCCTGCTTAGTACATAATTCAGTCTTATACTTCTCCTGTAACTGTTCAATTTCTTTCTGGAGATGCTGAAAATCTTCCTCACTATAAGGTGTCTCCTTACATTTATCTTCAGGAAGCAAGATGTTTGGGGGAATACGTAAAATCAGCTGCAAAAACAGTTGCTCCATTTTGCTAAAAAGGTTATCAAAACGTCCTTTCATGAAGCAAAGAAACTTCTCTGTGCATTTGCGAATATGCACTGGGCTAAGGTCACAGTCTGGGATGCCATCCAGCTTCTTCAGAATAACCTGTTCAACGGCCTGCATCACTTCAAATAGGTAGTCTTGAAATGCAATGTAGATCCGAAGCATGCATGTTTGTGGCGTGAAGCCAAAAAACTGGGCCTCATAGGTCATTGGATCCACAGACATCTTGGTTTATTTTGCTATGTTATTTTCGATTGTGAAAAATCTGCAAATGGAAAAATAAAATAATTCACTTGGAAAAAAAAAAAATCTTCTGCGGGAAGTAACATATCACACCACAGATAGCAAACAAGGAAGCAAATAAACAAAAGGAGTTTTTGTTCCTTTATGCCTGATGCCACTTCCACAACAGGATATAAATTCTTGCCTCTCTGAGGCTCCTTCCATTAGCCTATACCCTCTCTTTTCCCCTCCTCATTGCTCATTTTCCTTACCTGTGACTTTGGCACAGACCAGTCTTCTGAATTGTTATCATCCTAGACAACTTTGAAGTCTAGACAGCTGGCTTAACCAATGCCCTAGAGACTTAGTTTCTTGAGCTTCAATGATCTACACCTCCACCTCTGAGCCAACTGGCTCTTGATATTTGTAACTACTCTTCCAAACTGCTCCTACTTTTTCACTACTACCTCTTATACAATTCTTTCAACTCTTACTCATAGACTCACATTATACCCTAATCTTCAAGATTTACAGCCCCTAACCTGCTCTTGTGCTCAGCCTCTCCCACTTCACTTCTTTTCCCTATTTATTTTAGGCCTCATGACCTATCATTTTGATCACTTCATTGCCAGTGTCCTCAATTTGCTTGTCCTCCAGCCAAGCCACCTGAAAAAAATGCAATTAGAAGATGAACAAGTCCCTTGTCAGCTTTATAACCCTGCATGTTTTTTCAAGGGTCTGGGAATAATTCCTCTCAAATATAAACATATAGGAAAATAAAACCCTTATCTCCTTGTCATTGTGGTAGTTCAACCTAGGCATCTTTTCCTGGGATGAAATTGTATGCTTGTCATAGAAATAAGAGTTTTATTATTCCTTCAGATAAATGCAATTAGCTAAAATAAACTGCTACTTCAAATATCAGGTGAATTGAGAATGCACTTTATGAAATAATTTGCAGCAAGCAGTGCAGTCCAATCTTCTTATGGGAAGACAAGATGCTACTAATCTTAACAATTATGTTTGTAGGCCAAGTACAATAGCTCATGCCTATAATCCCAGCACTTTGGGAGGCCGAGACGGGCAGATCACCTGCCAGGAGTTCAAGACCAGCCTGGCCAACAAGGTGAAACCTCGTCTCTACTAAAAATACAAAAATATGCCAGGCATGATAGTGCACACCTGCGGTCCCAGCTACTTGGGAGGCTGAGGTGGAATAATCACTTGAACCTGGAAAGCGGAGGTTGCAGTGAGCCAAGATTGCCTGTTGCACTTCAGCCTAGGCGACAGAGCAAGACCCTGTCTCCAAAAAAAAAAAAAAAAAAAAAAAAAAGGAAAGAAACAGCCTCCTTGAACTCCTGGGCTAAAGAGGTCCTCCTGCCTCAGCAGTAGCTGGGACCACAGGTGTGCACCACTCTGCCTGGCTTAAACCAAGAGTTGTTTTATCAACAGGTTGTCAGGGTGATATTTGGGTGACATTTCGCCTTCTGCCAATTATTCATATCTTTTTAAAATTTTGTTATTATTTTTTTTGAGATGGAGCCTCACTCTGTCGCCCAGGCTGGAGTGCAATGGCGCAATCTCTGTGCACTGCAACGTCCTCCTCCCGGGTTCAAGTGATTCTCCTGTCTCAGGCTCCTGAGTAGTTGGGATTACAGGCGCGCGCCACCACGCCCAGCTAATTTTTTTTTTTTTTTTTTTTGGAGATGGGAGTCTTGCTCTGTCCGCCCAGGCTGGAATGCAGTGGCGCGATCTTGGCTCACTGCAACCTCCGCCTCCCGGGTTCAAACAATTCTCCTGCCTCAGCCTCCTGAGTAGCTGGAATTACAGGCACCCGCCACCACGCCCGGCTAATTTTTTTTATTTTTAGTAGAGGTGGGGTTTCACTGTGTTGGCCAGGATGGTCTTGATCTCCAGATCTCGTGAAACCCCTGCCTCATCCTCCCAAAGTGCTGGGATTACAGGCGTGAGCCAGCGCGCCCGGCCGTTTACATCCTTTTTAAAATACCACTCTTTTCAGCCTACCTTATAAACTACCAGACTTGACAGTCACTCCCATCATTCCAAAAATCTTTAGTGCTTCCTTATAACCCATGAATAAAGCATGATGCTAACCTCTCCTACCATGAGCTGGCTACTCTGCTCCAACCAAACTAAGTTATTTTCTTTCCCTCAAGGAGGGATGCCTGAGCTAAATGTCACTCAAAGAACATTAAAATACACTTCCTTGGCCGCGCTCGATGGCTCACGCCTGTAATCCCAGCACTGTGGGAGGCCGAGTGGATCACCTGAAATCAGGAGATCGAGACCAGCCTGGCCAAGATGATGAAACCCCTGTCTCTGCTAAAAATACGGAAATCAGCCAGCATGGTGACAGGTGCCTGTAGTCCCAGCTGCTCGGGAGGCTGAAGCAGGAGAATCGCTTAAAGCTGAAGTGAGTGGAGATCGCGCCACTGCACTCTGCACTCCAGCCTGGGCGACAGAGTAAGACTCCATCTCAAACAAAAACAACAAATACACTTCCTTGATTAAATCGTTCCTTTGCATTCCCATTAGGACCTCTCTTCCGGCACTGACAGATAAACTGCCGCCTCATCTTCTCTGCTAGATTGGATTTCCTAGCAGAGAATGAATGCGGCCTCATCATTTGCCGATTCCACGCGTAAGTGCCCAGGCCATCTCGGCGAATTGAGCTAAGTGCCCAAGATTGCGCTGAACAGGACCCAGAAGGCAGGGCGCAGGAACTGCTTCCAGCCGGTCCGGGCTCCCGTCGGGCCCTGCGCCCGCGCTGCATGCCGGGACCTTCAGTTCGGAGCCCGCGGCGAGGCCTACCCAGCAGGCCGCCGCGCTCGCCCGCGATGACGCCTAAACCAGTCCCGCCAGTCCCTACTCCTCCTCAGGAAAAATGCTGTCCCGCAGCACTTACTGGAGCGACCATGAGGGTGACGAATTCGAGCACACACAGGCTTCCCGCCACCTCCTCTAAAACGCCGCTGGCACGCCAAGGACAGACGGAGCGGTTGGCTCCCCAAAATTCCGACTGATACGCGCCTAGGCGAACGAAAGCAAACGCGGGATGCTCTCGCTCTCCTGATTGGCTGGTTGGGGACACCTCAATTAGTGACAGAAAGGGGCCGGGCGGGAAAGTTAGCTGTGGCCGGCGGGGATTGGCAGAGGAACCGATACTTACTCGTTTTTCCCGGACGTTGGCTGGTGGAGAAGCGAGGCTGGGGCGCTGGGGCGTTGAGGCGACGCAACTCGTGATTGGCGGGTGTGCCTTACTTAGGGCTCTACGGATTGACGACTGGCCGGTTGCTTGGCGCTGATTGGGCAGCCGCAGGAAGGCTAAGGCGGGGGGAGGGGCGGAGGTGCTTTGGACCCGCCCTGCCGTCGGGACCCACTGGCGGAAGGGGAAGTGGGGGGGCGGGCCACCGTGGGGAAGATGGCGTACCAGAGCCTGCGGCTGGAGTACCTGCAGATCCCACCGGTCAGCCGCGCCTACACCACTGCCTGCGTCCTCACCACCGCAGCCGTGGTGAGCAGCCTCAGTGCTGAGGCCACCTTCCCGTTATCTGGGCTGGATATGACTGGGTTTTCAGGAAACTGCGGTTTGGGCGTTGGGGAGGTCCAGAGGGGCTGGTCCTGGTGATGGGTGGAGGCATACAGGGATTACTCAGGGGTTCGAGTTGGTGCCGAGAAAGAGTATCCAGTGACCTGAGAAGGGAGTGCTGCTTCATGCGGGGTATGGTCAGTTTCTGACAGATGAGGGCCGGACCTGTAGTGGGTTAGGGTTGCGGGAGCCTCCCACCCAAGAAATGTGTCCGAGAGCTCTGGTGATGGCCAGGTGGTACCGTGGTGACTAGTAAGAGGAAGGTCCGCTTAGGAAAGAAACAGGAATGAGGAAAGCAAGCTGGAAACTGTCGAGAGGAGAACAGCTTATAATAAAGAGGGTCTTTGTATAATAAGGGGCTGGCTGGAGGTACCCAGCCCTAACGGTGGCAGGGTCTCGAGTCTCCGTTATTTCAATTGAGTTTTGTTGTTTGACACAGCTGTTCCAGGTGGTGCCCATGTGGTGGGTAGTCATAGCAGCTGTTTTTACTTGTCCTGTGTCTAAAATATCACCACCTGTCTGCCTCTCGTTTCTTCATGTCAGCCTCAACTATTGCAACATAAAACAAACTTTTTTTGTGTTAGGTATTGAGGATACAAAGAATTCTACCAATTCTTCAGATTTCTTTACCAACCTTTTCCTCTGGCCTAAGAAGAAAGGCTTAAAGGAAATCAGTCTAAGTGACTGAGAGTTGGAAATTGCTAGACCTACTAATCCTTTGTTGTAAATGATGAAATTTTGTCTCTTGGTTGATTTGCTTTAAGAAGCTCTTTTTCTATTTCAGCAGTTGGAATTGATCACACCTTTTCAGTTGTACTTCAATCCTGAATTAATCTTTAAACACTTTCAAGTAAGTGGTTCATCACAATAGTGATTAATGCTTCAGTTTATTCCTTTTCTTACAGTTTAGTAGCAAATCCTGTTACATACTAGCCTAAAAAAGAACCCAGTGGGGACCTTTGATTATAATTGTTTTGTCAGGATATAAAGCAGTGATTCTGCAACCTGGTTGGACTTGAGAATCCCTTAGGGAACTTTGAAGAGATTCTCAAGTTCCTCGACAAGTACCAAGTCAGAATTTGGAAGGGTAGGAATTAAAATCTGTGTTTTATTTTTAAAAGTTCCCTGCATCGTTTTGATATGCCCAGTTCCTGTATTTGGATATCACTGGTTTAGAGTTAATGTTGTAGTTTGAGAGGAGACTGACCAGGTGGCTGCTTAGGGGTTGTCTCAAAGGGATGACCTTATTTTGTCCATTCACCACCTAGGCACACCCACCACCTTGGTGTTATCACCATGGTCCAGAAACTCAATTCTGTTAATGCTTTTAAATTGTGATCTGTCTTCCAGGGATCAGATCATACTAACAAAATTCCAAAAGACCAACATCTAAAGCAGCATGGTGGTTTATTAGATTACAGTGGGAGATAGTCCTTTCCAGTGATTAAAATGCTAACAGCAGCCAGGCGTAATGGCTCACGCCTGTAATCCCAGCATTTTGGGAGGCTGAGGCAGGCAGATCACCAGAAGTCAGGAGTTTGAGACCAGCCTAATCAACATGGTGAAACCCCGACTCTACTAAAAATACAAAAATTAGCCAGGCCTGGTGATGCATGCCTGTAATCCTAGTTCCGGGGGAAGCTGAGACAGGAGAATCACTTGAACCCGGGAGGTGGAAGTTGCAGTGAGCAAGAGATTGTGCCATTGCACTCCAGCCTGGGAGATGAGCAAAACTCTATTTCAAAATAAAGTGCTAAAAGAGAGATGGGATTTCCTGTTCCAGGATGATCTTACAGACCATAGTTGGAGTAGGGGAGAGACCCAAAAGCCCATAATTGTGCCTCTACCCATGCTGTCCCCTCTGTCTCAGTTGTGTTTCATTCACTTTATACCTGTTGAGCTCTAGCTTGCCTTTCAAAATGCAGCTTTTCCGTAACCTTTATGTACCCATCCTCCTTTGTTTTAGAGCATCTCTCACCTTTACTTTGCAGTTATTTACATGCTTGTCTCCTCACTAGGATGAGGACTCTAAAATCTGGATAATTGATATATAGAACTAATTGTTTCAACATTAATAGTTACCAGTTCTCAAGAATTTAGTGATTTGTAAAGCAGTCCTGTGATCTCTTGTCACTCTGTTCCCACAATACTCACATGGAGCTGTAGTTCTATCCAAGTAAGTCTTACTTCCTACTTGGCTTGCTTGGCTTTACTTTGCCTGGGGTTAAACTCTTGATGACACTGCATTTGGAGTTAGGAGTTCTAGATTTGCCAGCAGAGTCTCCCTCTACAACCTGTGGGTCCTTGGTCAGTACATTTAAAAGTTCAACTTTTAGTTGAATAACTAGCTAGTTATTCAGTCAGTTTCAGTAAGTCTTTTAGTTTCCTATCTGTGAAATGGGGGGTAGCCTCCTTGTCTCACAGGATTATTACGATCACAAGAGGTAGTAGAAATTTTTAAATGTTAAATACTCTACCATTGTGAGTGAATACTGGGTGTGGAAAGGCAGGGAAGGCTGTATCAGGGTTTCCAACAAGAAAATGAGTGTTCAGCCAGGCACAGTTGCTCACGCCAGTAATCCCAGCACTTTGGGGGGCCGAGGTGGGTGGATCATTTGAGGTCAGGAGTTTAAGACCAGCCTGGCCAACATGGTGAAACCCTATCTCTACTGAAAATACAAACATTAGCCAGTTGTGGTGACATCTATAATCTCAGCTACTCAGGAGGCTGAGGTAGGAGAATCACTTGAACCTGGGAGCAGAGGTTGCTATAAGCCGAGATCACGCCGCTGCACTCCAGATGGGGTGACAGAGCAAGACTCTGTCTCAAAAAAAAAAAAAGAAAAGAAAATGAGTGTTCTTGTATCTCCCAAGTAGACTATAATTATTATAGCATTAGTTCTTGCAGGGAGTTGGCCATTTGTTCAGACTAGAACTTGGATATTTGCCTTAGAATATTCCTTTCTGGCCAGGTGCAGTGGCTCACACCTATAATCCCAAAACTTTGGAGAGGCCAAGGTGGATGATCCCTTGAGGCCAGGAGTTTGAGTCAGCTTGGGCAACATAGTGAGAATCTGTCTCTGTTTTTAAAAAAAAGGTTTTTTTCTTCTTTATAGATGACTCTGTCTTGGATACGTTAAAAATTTTTTAATTAAAAAATCAAAGAATTTTCTTTGAGATGTTTCTGACTGCCTAATGTAAACATTTCTCAGCAATTTATATTAGACCCTGAAGTTTTTCTCTGGTATGTCAGATCTATTGATTATATGATGATACTACATATGAAAGCACTGTTTTCTGTTCAGCAAATTAACCTAGTATTTCTACCAAACTTTCTCCATAAGACAATCACAATTTAAAATTTTCTGTCCTATTATAAATCTCACAGTCCCAATGATGTCTTTCAAACTTTTAACTAAAAGCAGCAAAAATCGAACATCGGATTGTATGCCCTCATTTTGTTTCAGAACAGAATATCACTCTGTCCAAGGCTTCTCAACCATCATAGTCATAGGATGTGTCTTTTGTATTCGTATGGAACTGTTTCCTGGTAATTTATTTGACTTAATACATCTTTCTCTTGATTTCTTTTTTAACAGATATGGAGATTAATCACCAATTTCTTATTTTTTGGGCCAGTTGGATTCAATTTTTTATTTAACATGATTTTTCTGTATCCTTTATTAAATGGGGTCAACATCAAAACTTTGTTTTCTTAGGAAGTAAAAGATTAAGTTGAAACTTTTAATCCTGTTATTTGTTTTTGGTGCCATCTTAGCTATAATATCTGGATCAGTGGTACATAAAGTAGTTGGTTAGGTAGTAATGTTTTGAAAAGATTTGTAGGTCGCTGTTCAAATGGGAGGTTTTAACCATAAAAAGATACCACTTCTACTTTTTAGTTGCTTACAAATCTGATCAAGGGAGGGGAGAAGTGATTTAACTAAGGTATATTTCCACAGTAACATCAACAGGTACAAAGTGGTAAAACAACCTGAATACAATGATAATTTAGCAGAATTTGGGCATAAGTTTTAAAGTAGGTTCATGAGGAGTGGGAACTTGTGATCTCCTTGGATCCTTGTTGCGGGAACTACTGGCTGAAAGAGTGGTGTGTCTGCCGGGCTTGTCAAGTTCCAGTTTGTTGAAAGAGAGGGAAACCCCAGCTCTGATCAATGGCAGTTGGGGCCATGGAGCACGGCATTCCTCCTCCACCCCTGCCCTTTCTGTTAAGAGGGAGTTACAGTTCAGCTCATCTGCAGCTGCATTCCTTCCTGAGGATGGCAGGAATCCATTTTAAATCCTGTTTAGGATATCATTCTGGTAAGTTTCCAATAAAATTTTTTCTCATCATAATTCATCTTTATTGACTGAGGTGCTCATACCAAGTCTGGAAAAGTAGTTTAGCACACAAGGCTTCTTGCTACGGATTTCTTCCAAGTTAGGTTGTGGAAAAGCAAAGATGGTGCAGATTAAGGTGCAGCTGAGCACAAGAAAGACTGTACAGTTTTTTAAAGGTTTAATAGGAGACAGGAAGCACATCTGTATGTTATGTGGATTAGTTCCCAGCTAGGGACAGTTTGTAAAATATGGTGCTGGTCTTGACCTTTTCTAAAACGCTTGGTAAAAGAAGGGTAATGACATTACCGCTCAAACATTCTTACACAAATGAAGACTTGACTTCTTACAAATAATATGGAATACAAGTGTACTTACATAACAGAAAATTTTACTTTGTTCATATTTGTGTGCTTAATATTTTCTTAACTTGGAACTTAAGATACCGTTACTGTCGAATGCTAGAAGAAGGCTCTTTCCGGGGTCGGACAGCAGACTTTGTATTTATGTTCCTTTTTGGTGGATTCTTAATGACCGTATCCTTCAACAAATAGAACACATACAGGAAAATGTTAAAAAACACCCTGTTTCTTCCTAAAGCTTGTCATCTGTCTCCCACAACTCACTAGATATTCTGAACAAACAGATAAAAGTAGACTTCCAGATTTTAGCATTAGGGCACTATCATTTATTTATTTATTTATTTATTTTTGAGATGGAGTCTTGCTCTTGTTGCCCAGGCTGGAGTGCAGTGGTGCAATCTCAGCTCACTGCAACCTGTGCCTCCCAGGGTCAAGCGAGTCTCCTGCTTCAACCTCCCAAGTATCTGGGATTACAGGCATGCACCACCACACTCAGCTAATTTTGTATTTTTAGTAGAGATGGGGTTTATTCTCCATGTTGGTAAGGCTGGTCTCAAACTCCCGACCTCAGATGATCCGCCCACCTTGGCCTCCCAAAGTGCTGGGATTATAGGCATGAGCCACGGTACCCAGCCCACCGTCATTTATTTTACAGCACATTTTCTGTGACAAGTTTCCAAGGCTAGAGGTTGAACAGGATGAACAAGTCAAAGGAGCTTTTAACCCAGACGGGTTATTATTAAGTGTCTCAGTTATATCATTGCTGCTTGGTGCACTTCACTTTTAAACTAAGTTGGTAAGACATTTACTTGGTGGCTATCAAAACCAAAAAATTATTTTTTAGAAAAAGAATTTTCATCTATACAATAGTCTTAGATATGCTACTGTTGGGCAAGATGGTTTTGTTCCAGCTAGCTTTATTCACCTCTGTAAAGGTGCTAACCATGAGCAAGCTTTAATATAATTATTGACCAAAGAATTAACACATTTTCCAAAGAGGCAAGAACTTCACGAAAGCAGAGCATTTGTTTGAAGTAGCTGCAATCTCAATAATTTAGCCTAAGCAGATTTTTGCATGATTGCTCTGGGTAATTATTTTCTGTTTTTTTTTTTCCTTCTATTCTAAAGATGTAACAACTTGACTTTTCCAGCTCAAACGTTTGTTAGAACACAAATGTTAGTTATCCTGCTCAGTCTTCCCCTATTAAACTTTTAATGTTGATATTTTCCTTAATGCTATCTGCTAGCTTTTTGGTTTGTTTGTGAGCTTAGTTTTCTTGGGCCAGGCCTTTACAATAATGCTCGTCTACGTGTGGAGCCGAAGGAACCCCTATGTCCGCATGAACTTCTTCGGCCTTCTCAACTTCCAGGCCCCCTTTCTGCCCTGGGTGCTCATGGGGTTTTCCTTGTTGTTGGGGAACTCAATCATTGTGGACCTTTTGGGTAAGGCTCTTCTCACTATTTTTTAAATTCTTTTACCTGTAAATGTATTTTGTCACTATTTTTCATGTATATTCTGTTTGGCCTTCATGTATAAGTATTGTAAAAGACAATAATGTTAGTTCATTAATAATTATGCTGCCATTCATCCTAAATATAGGCAATTTATGTTGGTAGGTATGCCTGCAATCTAAATTTTCATTGTCTCCCTCATCCTTTATTTCTGCTTGACTTTAGGTATTGCAGTTGGACACATATATTTTTTCTTGGAAGATGTATTTCCTAATCAGCCTGGTGGAATAAGAATTCTGAAAACACCATCTATCTTGTGAGTATTTACATACTCTTACAAGCAAACCAGGATAGGAGGTCATGATCTGTGTTTTCTTGGGCTCTCCTAGCTCCTAGTATACATAGTTGAGGTCAGTAACTATTTACAGATTGAGCAAGCTGGCTACAGTTGAAGAGCACTTGGATTGAGTAGTAACAGACAGTGCCAGGGTTGTGGCCAGAGCAAAGTTAACAGGCTCAGGATACCTTGGGAGTAACCTGGTAATTGTTGTTCCAGATGACCACTAGAACTTCCTGTTTCAGGAGGAGCCTACTGTTTTTATGAAAGCTGCTCTCCATGTTTAGTGAAGTAAGGTAGCAAAATGAGCAAAACTGATGAAAGTTTCTAATGGTGGACTTTCTGGCCTGCCAGGCAGGTGGTTGAGATAAGCAGTGAAGCAGAGTGGAAGTAGCTTTGGACTGGAAACCAGATGTAGCTGTCCTACTGACCAGTCATATAGCAAGTCCCTTCTTTTTTGCACTTCAGTTTCCTGAGATAGAACTTTGATTTTTTTTTTTTTTTTTTTTGGACATGGGGTCTCGCTCTGTCACCCAGGCTGGAGTGCAGTAGAACTTTTGATTTATGAGACCTCTTTCTACTCTGGAATTTGGTGTCCTTGAGAGATACCATATTAAAAAGGGCTCACTTGAGAAATAAAATGTTTTTGTTATAAAATGTTTGTTGTAGAATAGTTAAGCAAGAAAGTAAAATTGTCCATGATCCTGACACTTGGATGTAGCAGTGGCTACCATTGTTAACTTTTCTATATGTATTCTTCAGTCTTTACTATCTGTGTACTTTTTTTTAAATGCTGAGCCAGTCAAGGCTGTTGTGCACTATGATTGCGCCTGTAAATAGCCACTGCTATTCTTTGGCCAGGACTTTAAAATAGCCACTGCATTCCAGCCTGGACAACATAACACACGCCTGTAATCCCAGCACTTTGGGAGGTGAAGGCAGAAAGATCACTTGAGCTCAGGCGTTTTTGACCAGCCTGGGCAGCATGGCAAAACCCCCATCTCTACAAAAAACATAAAAATCAGCTGCACATGGCGGCACATGCTTGTAATCCTAGCTACTCGAGAGGTTGAGGTGGAAGGATTGCTTGAGCCCAGAGGGGTTGAGGCTGCAGTGAGCTGAGATCGAACCACTGCACTTCAGGTAGGGGGACAGAGTAGCACCCTGTCTCAAAAAACAATTTTGTAACCTTGTAGACTTAATATGTCATAATTGTTTTTTCCATCATAAAGTGTTATACAATTGTAACAGCTAGATGATATTCCATGGTATGGATATGGCATAATTTTACTAATCCCTTATTGATAGACATTGACATTAGTGCTTGGTTTTCTCTTCTATAATTGGAGTGGTGAATATCCTTCTAGCTAAATTTCTGCACACATCCGTGGTTATTTTCAAAATGTAATTCCTGGAAGTAGAATTGCTATTTTGTGGCCAAATGCCTTCCAGAATGGATGTTCAAGTTTCCATTTCAACTAGCATATATGTGTTCATTTCCCCACATCCTTATCAAACAAGGGAGGCATTTTATTTACCCTTTCCTAGTTGGATAGTTATAGGATGATGTCTCATTGTTTATGATTTTTAAAAGATGTTTTGAAACAATTTCAGTCCTACAGGAAATTACAAATGCAGTACAGGGTCTCACTTCATTGCCCAGGCTGGAGTGCAGTGGTATGATCATAGCTCACTGTTAACTCAAACCCCTGGGCTCAAGTGACCCTCCCACCTCAGCCTCCCAAGTAGCTGGGACTACAGGTGCACACCACCAGGCTCTGCTTATTTTTTTTGTGTGGAAATGTGGTCTCTCTATGTTGCCCAGGCTAGTCTTGAACTCCCATCCTCAGGCGATCCTCCTGTCTCTTGGCTTCCCAAAGCATTGGGATTACAGGTGTGAGCCACCACACCCTACTTTTTTTTTTTTTTTTTTTTTTTTTTTTTTGCAATTGTTTTCTGGCTCAACAAGATATACCAGGCTCATGTTGTGCTCTCCTTGATCCAGTCCTGGAATCAGCTGTTTCTTCAAAGAGCCCTGGTTCCTTTAAAGTGGAGAATGGTATTTAGAAGCCAAGATCTGGGTGCTAGATGTGCTCATTGCTATTGAAGTGTTGCTATTCCCAGATCCTCTCAGTGGAAAGAGCAATGGAATTATATCTATGTATGATAATGTATACACATGTATTTTTTAGATCTGTTTATTTTCAAAAACATGGGTTTATACTACCATTTCTAGTACTACCCCATGGTTCATACTACGTTTTTTCCTTTCTATTTGTTTCCTCCTGTATTTTATTATGAAAATTTCCAAACTTATAGGAAATCAGAAAAAAATTAGAGTGAGCTTCATTTAGCCACCACATAGATTCTGTAATCAATAGTTGCCCTTTTTTTTTTTTTTTTTTTTTTTTTTTTTTTTGAGGTGGAGTTTCTCTTTTTGCCCAGGCTGGAGTGCTATGGCGTAATCTTGGCTCACCACAACCTCCACCTCCCAGGTTCAAGCAGCTCTCCTTCTTCAGCCTCCCAAGTAGCTGGGATTACAGACATGTGCTACCACGCTAATTTTGTATCTTTAGTAGAGATGTGGTTTCTCCATGTTGTTCAGGCTGGTCTTGAACTCCCTACCTCAGGTGATCTGCTGGCCTCGGCCTCCCAAAGTGCTATGATTACAGGTATGAGCCACCATGCCCGGCCTAATAGTTCCCTATTCTTTTTGCACACCTATCCCTCCATCTAGCTTTCCAGTCCAAAATGTATGTGCCATTACATGTATACTTAATTCCTTATATACGTTAGTATGTATATCATTAACTAGAGTTTAGTAATTATGTGCAACAAAATACACAAATCTTTAGTGTGTCAACTAATGAATTTTTATAAATGCACACACGTGTATATATCAAGGCAGAAAATTACCATCAACCAGAAATTTCCCTGATGTCTTTCCCTGTCAGTCATTGCACCTGTCCCTCAAGAAGCAATTGCTATTCCGATTTTGTCCTCTGTAGATTAGTTTTTCATGTTCTACAGCTTCATGAGTAGAATCGTACAGTATGCATGTACTCCTTTGTATAAGGCTTCTTTCAGGCGGGCGCAGTGGCTCATGCCTGTAATCTCAGCACTTTGGGAGGTGGAGGTTGGCAGATCACAAGATCAGGAGTTTGAGACCAGCCTGACCAATATGGTGAAACCCCCGTCTCTACTAAAAATACCAAAAAATTAGCCGAGTGTGGTGGCGTATGCCTGTAATCCCAGCTACTCAGGAGGCTGAGGCAGGAGAATTGCTTGAACCCGGGAGGCAGAGGTTGCAGTGAGCTGAGACCACACCATTACACTCTAGCCTAGGCGACAGAGTGAGACTCCATCTCAAAAAAAAGAAAAAAGGCTTTTTTTTTTTAATTCAACGTAATGTTTTTGAGACTCATCTATGTTCTTGTATGTTTTTGTATTTTGTTCCTTTTTATTGCTGAGTATTATTTGATTATATGAATGTACCACTCCTTTCCATCTGCCCTTCCCAGTTGTCCTAACCTGATTCTTAATATGATTGTTTTTACCTACCTAATTACCCCCATATGTAACCAGTGTTTCATCATAGTCTCCACCTCCCCAATATGGATGCCTTGCTCATCTCACTCACCCTCAGATTCCCCAGACCAGGCTGCCCTCTTATGGGGATACACTCCCCGCCCTGCTCAGGCTAACATCTTGTCAGACCACTTCCATGTACTCATGGTCTGATGGGCTCTTGACTCCCTGTACCAGGCTGTGCCCCCACCCTCATCCTGCTAATGTTTGAGCAGTAGAAGGGAGCTCAGTTTTGTTTTTGTTGTTGTTTTTGAAATGGGTTTTGGCATTGTCACCCAGGCTTGAGTGCAGTGGCTCAATCTCGGCTCACTGCAACCTCCACCTTCCAGGTTCAAGTGACTCTCCTGCATCAGCCTCCCGAGTAGCTGGGATTACAGGCATGCGCCACAGCTAATTTTGTATTTTTAGTAGAGATGGGGTTTTGCCATGTTGGTCAGGCTGTTCTTGAACTCCTGACCTCAGGTGATCCAACTGCCTTGGCCTCCCAAAGTGCTGGGATTACAGGCATGAGCCACCACACCTGGCCGGGATCTCAGTTTTTAATATACTTTCCTTTGATTATTGTGAGAGTCAACATTCTCATGTTTGTTGACCACATGGATTTCCTTTTTGAATTGCTTGTTGAATAAAAAAAATAAACAAAAACAAAACAAAATGAATTGCTTGTTGAGCTCTTTGCCCATTTTTTCTATTGGTATGTTTGTTTTCATTGTTAATTTGTAAGAATTTTAGGCCGGGCGCGGTGGCTCAAGCCTGTAATCCCAGCACTTTGGGAGGCCGAGGCGGGTGGATCACAAGGTCAAGAGATCGAGACCATCCTGGTCAACATGGTGAATGAAACCCCGTCTCTACTAAAGCTACAAAAAATCAGCTGGGCATGGTGGCACGTGCCTGTAATCCCAGCGACTCAGGAGGCTGAGGCAGGAGAATTGCCTGAACCCGGGAGGCGGAGGTTGTGGTGAGCCGAGATCGCGCCATTGCACTCCAGCCTGGGTAACAAGAGCGAAACTCCGTCTCAAAAAAAAAAAAAAAAAAAGAATTTTAAAAACTCATTTTGAAGTATACTTACATCATAGTACTTAGAAAGTCTTTTGGACATTTACTATCCCCTCCTGTGTTCTGCAGTAATTTTTCTTGGGATGCATTGTTAATTTTTTTTTAATTTTAATTGTGGTAAAATAATACCTAACATAAAATTCACCGCCTTAACTAATTTTAAATGTTCAATGTCATTAAGTATATTCATACTATTTTGCTTCTGTCACCACCATCCATAGAACTCTTTTTATCCTGCAGAACTGAAACTCTCATTAAACAACTCCCCACCCCACTCTAGCCACCACCATTCTATTTTGCTTTCCTGAATTTGACTACTCTATGTTACCTTATAAGTGGAATCATACAGTATTTGTTCTTTTTTGTCTGGCTTATTTCATATTTCATTTAGCTTAAAGTCCTCAAGGTTCATCCATGTTGTACCATGTTTCTGAATTTTCTTCCTTTTTTTTTTTTTTTTTTTTTTGGAGACAGTCTTGCTGTGTTGCCCAGGCTGGAGTGCAATGGAGCAATCTCAGCTCACTGTAACCTGTGCCTCCCAGGTTTAAGCAAGTCTCCTGCCTCAGCCGCCTGAGTAGTAACTGGGATTATAGACATGTGCCACCATGCCAGGCTAATTTTATTTTTGGTGGAGATGGGGATTTTGCCATGTTGGCCAGGTTGATCTCGAACTCCTGGCTTCAAGAGATCCACCCGCCTCAGTGTCCCAAAGTGCTGGGATTACAGGTGTGAGTCATTGTGCCCAGCCCATTTCCTTCCTTTTTGAGGCTGAATAACATTCTGTTAGACTGCGTGCAGTGATCCCAGCTGAGCCCAGGTGGCACAGCCGTAATACCAGCTACTCGGGAGGCTGAGGCAGGAGAATCACTTGAACCCAGCACTCTAGCCTGGGTGACAGAGTGAGACTCCATCTCAAAAAAAAAAAATATATGTGTACGTACCTACTATATTTTGTTCATTCATCTGTTGATGGACATGGTGATACCTTGATTATGGGGAGACATTGTGAAATGATAAATATGTGAAAGTCAGGTTACAAAACAGATGTAGTGTGATTTAACTTTTGTAAAATTAGGTCATGTAAAAGTTCCTGAAGAATAACTAAAACATGGACAATAATTACCTCTAGAAATTTAGGATATTTTGTTCATCTGTATTTCCTCCTTCTCTATAATTATTATGATATGGATTGCTTTTGTAGTAAAAACCGGCAAAGATAAAAACTAATGTAAATGTTAATAATTATAGAT